ACACACACACACACACACACACACACACACACACACACCGTGTGGAACTCAGGGCACTTTACATAATACATAAATACATAATCCAAGCAGAACCAACAATACATACAAAAACAAAGCAGGGACAAGTGGGAAACAAAAGACTAACAATACATAATAAATAATGACACTGAAAGATCTACTGTCAATCAGTGACAGTCTAAACTTTGGAACAAACTTTAAACTTTATATTACTATTGAAATACAACTGTGCTGTAATGAATATTTAATTATACTAATAATTTTACTGTAATAAAATTACAGTACTTATGTCTTAACTTCTTTACCTACAAGTGTTAAACTCAAGCTTTGTTTTGGTGGAAAACTGCAGGGAGACATTTAAGTGAAAAAATCTTTCCCTGAACAAACCATCGATCAATAATTTAACCCTCATATTGTGTGTTAATGATTTATTTTCAGGAATCTGCACTGAGTGGTGAAGAGGATGCATACACTGAATCTCATTTCCAGGATGTCTTTAATGAGGACTGCATTGTGCTGGATCCAGTCTCAGTGCTTCCACTGCAGTATAAAATCACCAGGAATCTGTTGCCACTGTCAGGTGAGAGTATACTCTTATTGCTGGAGTGTGTGCAAACTAATGCTTTGACAAACAAGCTTTAATATGGACATTATTGATTTTCAGGAATCAATCATTTGAGTTACAATTTTAACTTCATTTTCAACTTTAAAGCAGCTCTACAGAAGGCAATTTAGATTATTATTTTAATTTAGATCAGTTTAATTCAATTATTCAGTGAACTCATAATTTCCAATGTAGTTAAATCAATACATGAATTGTCGTTTAAGTCTCCACTGAGTAAGCCAAAGGGTGACAGTAGCAAGGAGCAGTAACTGCAGGGAGTAAGAAGCCCTTAGCTCAGCTGACGGAGCCAGTCCTCTGTTCTAACAGTGCGAACACAGCTGGACTCAAGATCCCAAGCTCCAGCACAGGTCCGTGATTGTGTAGATGGTGTTCAAAATATAAACCAGCTCCTTCTGATTGGAGACTAGCTTGGGCCAAAACGGACATGGACAAAAGTTTGAGACCACAGTGATTGTAATATAATGACTGTAATTTGACCAAACCATCGATTAGAGTTTTATAAGTAATCCGGAATGATGCTTAAGGGGTCATGAATTGAAAAATCAAATTTTCCCTGATCTTATTACATATTTGAGGTCATTGTACTATTTAAAAAAATATACTATAAGTTTCAGAATTCAGTACTTCCTCCTTAGTCCAAAAACAGCATTTATTGAACCCAACTGGCAGAATGACCAACTTTGTCTTGGTCATAATAATCATAATCATCACAGAAGAGTACCTGAAGAGATGAACACCTACTGCTGCTTCACATCTGTTAGTGAGGTGATGAGGAAAGATGGCAGAGATCGGAAAACAGCATCACTCGGGATAAAATACATTTAGATGCTTACTAAGTTTTTCAAATGTTGTGCAATCCTTAGTTGTGCAAGAACATTGTCTCTGTATACCTTCTGAAGCATTTAAAAATGTGGGTGTTTGTGTTTATTTTCAACACAGTGCCTGATTGTGTCAGTAGTTTGTAGGTTTTGGTTTACAAACACTTTCACTGAAAAATGGACCTGACCAAATGCCACAACACAGAACTCGGTCTGTGAGCTGTGCTGAACAAAACTCTGGCCATTCACGCGCTCAACACTAGCTACAGTGCTCAATGCTGGGGGAAAATAATGTTGTTAAAAAGAACCTTTGATGGAATAGATGTAAACATAATACTGTAAGCCAATTAGCTGTAATCATAGCCATGTTTTAACAGTTCCACACGTTCATATGCAAAGGTTGGTGTTAAATGTTTGAAACGGGTCACGCATATACTTTATTCATTGTCTATCATAATACAAACTGCAGAGCCCTGCACATGACTTGCAGAATAAAAGATAGAGAGTTTTTGTAGTGGTTTTTCAATTTATTAGTAAAAAAAAGTCTGTGGTAAATTTAAATATGATACCTGCACGTTTGGCTCTACAGTGTCACGCCAGTTACACACGCTTATACAGAAAACACACATTTTTTATGTTTTTT